GCCTGGCCACGCCCCCACGCCGCGGGGAGCGGCGCGAAGCATTGGGTGGGCGGGGGGCGAGATTGGCCCCGCCCCTATGAGGAGGGGGGACAGCGTGGCCCCGCCCCCGAGTGGGCGGGGTGAGGGTCACAGCCTCCCTGCTCTTGGGGTAGGGGTAGGGGGACCTTCTTACCCCCAGCCAGGGGAAGCCGCAGAGAGGGCAGGGGGAGAAGAAGGGCAATGGGCACCTTGAGAGGTGCGGCCCGGCCCTGCCCGCCCGGGCACAGGGGGCAACTTGAAGTGTGAAATACACCGGGAGGGGAAACACTGTGTATCTGGGTCCATGAAGGCCGTTTTCCTTAAGCCCTCCCAGGGATGACTGTTCTTCTGGTGCAGTTTAGTACCCGCCAAGGTGTTGGGGCTTAAAGCCTGCTTTATGGAAATGGGAGGCTCCTCCCTAGCTTGCTCCTGCGCTATATGGCAAAACTCGGGGGCATCCAAACCCCAAGCCTTAAGGCTTGGGCCTGCACATAGGATGCCTGCGGAAAGACTTCGGAAATATCTGAAGCCCCTGGTGGGGGTGGAGGATGTTTGCCAGTTGTAGGGCCACTTACGACTCACAGATTTGGACTTCATTTGGCTTGGAACACGAAAAATGTCTTTAAAAAAAAAAGTGAAATACACTAGGAGCGAGGGCATTGAAACCCCAGCGTGATCGCTTCGGCCGAGGGAACGGAGCTGTTGGCTGCAAGGGGGATCTCAGTGTTATCCCCGCTGAATCCCGCGTCCAGTGAGAGTGCAGTGGTGAAGACGGAAACCAATGCCAGTGAACGCGTCTCTCACAGAGACAAATGGCGTTCCCCACTCCCTGCCTGACCCAGTGCCATCTCATCCCAGAAAGTGCTTCCCAAACCCCAGCCCTCCTGCTAAGGGCAAGTGCTAGTCCCAGACATTAGCTCCAGAGCGAGTGTCCAGTGCGTTTCTAGCCCTCCTGATCAGTGAATGAAATCTGACAGAAGACAACCAGGACGACATTTGCATACATTAATCATGGGGAGCAGTAATGATTTGGTTGACTGTCCCCCAAGAAGTGACGTGGAAGCTAGAACACGGCTGACCCGCCACCCAAAACACAGGTAACCCCCACTCTGCTGGTGAAATGCTGATACATGAACACCTCTGCCCCTACATTCATTCTTAACAAACCACTCAGATCTTCCACATGAGATATTTGGCGTGATCTAAACTCACCGCCAACGTGGGTGCTTGTGCTGACTGTGAATCAGCAGGGAAGTTGGCAACTGAAGAAGCGAGGAGTCTGGACTCTGTCTGAAACCAGTTAGACCAAGTCCCTCCAGTTCAGGTCTGAGACACGACAGTAAATTAAGGCAGAAGAAATTAGAACTGATGCTGCTCAAACTGTACCGGATCTGTGGGTAAAAGGGGGCCTCCCTGTCAATCTCACACCTTTTACCAGCGTTAAAACCACACTGGTTTTTTGTTTGTTCATTTTTAAGTGGTATCAGCCTCACTGGCCAATCTCCAAGGCATGCACAGGCTCTTTTTACTTTGTATTGCGTGGTCTCTACAGACAGCTAGTAGCAGATCTAGATCTGCTAATACCATCTCAGTATTTCCATATTGTCACCTACTCTCGGACTTTCCCAGTCCCTAGTATGGGGTTATTTTAATGCTCAAGTAGTTTTCTCTGTCATGAATCACAGGCTTTCAGTCCTCATTTAGTAACGGGCCATCCCTACATTTAATTGATAGTTCTTTACATGCTTGATCCGTAATCCTTACACGTTCAAAACACAAAATATATTTCCTACACTGGTATTACTAAGAATAATCAAAACCATTAATGTTGGTACCATAATTCATTCCATCTGGGGCTCTTAAATAAATTAATTACTTCTCACAGTCTCCTTATGAGGTAGACATCATTACTCTTATTTCACAGATGGGGCTACTGAGACAGACAGGCTAAACATATTGCCCAAGGTCTCATGGAGAACAAAAAACAGATCTTCTGACTTCCAGTCCTGGACTGTAGCCACAAAGCCATCCTTCCCTAAACATATTTTTAAAAAGCCCTGAATAGGCTGTGTTTACCTTAAAGATTAATGCACAAAAATAATTGTAACATAGCTGAGGGACTGCCTTTTGTAAGGCAGGAAAGGGTTAACACTCACAAGCAAGAAGGAAGCCCTGATTTCAACTTGGTAAAAAGATACCTGACATCTGTCAGCATAATGAGACTCACACAGGAAAAGCTTCTGACTGAACTAGACACACAACCAGCTAGCGCGCTGCTATTCTAATGAAATGCAAATGAGATCTTTTATTGGTAGCAATCATAAAGAAGATAAGACTAGAAGTTTGATTTAAACTGGACATTAGCCTCATTAGCTAAGTGAATCTCCGAAAGTACCACCATATATCACAAAAAAGTTGGAATGAATTTTTCCCTAGCGATTTTTATTTGTTAAACATAAGGATACATCTAGTCAAAAAGAGCAGCGCGTGGATAACAGGCAGGATCACAGCATGCTACAGAAATATAAGGATTACATTCAACCTAAACTAATCTTTCTTACACGTTCTAGTGCAGCCATCACCACTGTTTTTAGGTATCACTTCTACAAGACTTAAGTCTTATCGTTGCCTAAGAAAGGACCACCTTCACTGTACACAGGAACTTCCTTGCGTGTATCTGTCTCAGCAAAAATATATCCAGGTGAACAAAGAAAGTGTGCACTGTATACTTATTGACATACTTTGTGATGCCTTCTCTTTAGGGCAGTCTTTTGGGAGAAGGTGCTTTGCAGCTTGCACCGAAGCCCCGTCTACACGAGGAAATGAACTGGCTGAGGATTGTTGTCAACAGTCTCCATCCCTCTTCCTGCAACAGCGCTGACAAACCTTTTGCCATATTCTCACACCATTCACATCACGCTTGTTGGGCTCCCAGTGTCTGCCACAGAGAGGAGCTGAGAAAGGCAAACCAGCTCATCCTGATCTGCTGCGGTAGGGAACGCCTCGACCAACAACCCCCGGCCTCAGCTACCTCCCAGTTCGTTCAGATTTGCACTAATGGCATCGCCCCAGGGCCCCTGCCCCAGTGCCCCCCCCACCCCAGTGCACACCCCTCTACCCCAGGGCCCCCCAGTGCAGCTACCCTACCCCAGT